CATGCACTTTGTATTGATACCCAAGTGTGGAAATATAAAGATATTAATATACGACTTTAGATATATGCAACTTGCCGATTAAGGTTAATAATATTCATTTTCAAAGTGCGAAAAAGAGCAATAACTTGGTAAAAATGGAAGCCTTAGCTATGTAACTTGCCCAGGTCATGTACTTTGTATAGATTGTGTAAATTATGCATGAAGACAATGGTAAAGGTAGAGCTTAAGAAAAAACAAACTTGACGTATAAGGTTAACCTTGTACGGACAGACAGATGGACGGACGGTTCAATTACTATATGCCATGGGGCATAAAAATAAAAAATATATGAAAGACATATAATCAGCTCCTGTGATAATTGTCTATAAATCATTTTTCTGTATTTAGGTCTTCAAGGTTTACTTATCCCTTTTCTCTTCCACTACGCATGCCTTCAAGTGAAGTCGTAGGCACTTTTTCCAATGGAATGATTTTCCACAAACATGGCAGGTATATTTTGGAGGTTCATGTATTTTCAAATGTTGCTTCAGAAGTCTTCCAGCTTTAAACGACTTTCCACATTTTTTACAAGTACTCAAATTTCCGGTAAATGGTGCTTTTGATGAATTACACTGTTTCGTATGTCTAACCAAGCTGCTTTTGTAAGAAAACTCATGACCACAATAACAACATTGAAATGTGCGGGGAGTATCTAAATGAGATTTTAAATGAACTTTGAAGCACCGCTCGGTTTTTAAGGTTTTCCCACAAGTTGAGCAATTATAAGGCGAAATGTCTGCGTGGATACTCCTTTCATGTTGTTTAAGCAAACAGGGTTTAATGAAACCTTTACCACAAACCGAACAGAGGTGTTTAAACGGGAGGTGCAGTTTCATATGTTCATTTAAAGAATGTTTGTTGGTAAACTCTTTCTTACAAGTGTCACATGTGTATGATGTTGAATCATGTGATGCCAGATGACGTGTTAAACCAAATCTAGATCGAAACGATTTCTCACATATTCCACAACGAAGGAGAGATTCGTCGTCAGAAACATCCATTCTTGAACTTTGCATCATCAGTATGAAAAAGACAAAAATATATTGAATAAACATGTTGAAATTTTGTTAAACATGTTGTGCTGAAATAGCCTTTTGAAAATTTACTTTGGATTTTCATTTCATGAAATAAACATTAATGATTCTAATGATAATTAAATGATAGTGTTTATTCCTATACCTGTATATATTTCTAGAACTTCGTCAGACTCACTATTTTCACCATGTGTTTACTATTTATGAATGCAGAATGTTTTTAATATTTCATGGGGAATTTTATTAAAATTCATACAAACTCACAATTTAACACATTTCAAGTTGAACTTCAATTTAGCATATTGTGTTATATATCTATTTGAAAGACCCTGTGCTAGGATATATCTGCACGCATGCACAATTTGTATATATGTGTGTGTCTTATTAGATGAACGGGTATAATTGCCTAATTATTGCTAATTATTTTAAAAAATGATTAGTTATTCCTCGCTAAAATATGGTTGCCACATTAATGACAAAAAAGTTTTGCAACCAAAAATGCGTGAAGTATAAGTCTGCAACCAAAATGTGCTTGAACAAGATATTTTGTGTATTGAACGTTATCTTCGGACTTGCGAACTAAAACCATTTGTACAGCATTGACAGAAACATATTTTGTTATTGTTAAATGCAGTTCAAAACTTACAAATTCGAATAAATTAGGAGAAAAACCGACCAAAACAGTCACATGTCAAATCTCAAAATATCTACATGATCAGTTTATATCTTCAATAACTTCGTCAAAACAGAATCTAGGATGCTGAGACCTTTAACCGAGTGTGGCATATATATTGCATTATGGAATAGACATACTAATGAACTTCAAAGTAACAAAGAAACCCACTTGCCTGGCAAAAAATCGTGTACACGTTTAAAAAAATCACCCCGAGTTCGCCATTTTGTCAAGTTTGCAACCAATTCGCTCGCTTGAACAAAGTGCGCAACCACTTCACGTCCTGCCCCTTGCATATGAATAACTCCCGTTAGACTTGCATGTACCATCTTTAACTGGTCGAGCTGATCGGTACTGTGACGGTTTACGCTTTTGAGCAAAGATCGAAAGTGGATGAGTTCGTGTATGTTGGTTCCGAGGTAAACTTTAATAGTCCTTTTATAAACGAATTATACTTTATCACTATATCTTTACGGTAACATAAAAGGGACATAGGCAACCTTTTGTTTACTTGTTAGATATGCACGCGATAGCAAGTATGTGCTCACGCGATAGTATTATTTTGCCGCGTGGCAGCTATTACACGTAATAGGTATAACGTACTTGTACGCACGTAAAACATATTGCGTGGTCATGTAGTGGCTTTTGCGTGCTTACATTATAGCTATCGTATGCCAAGATCTTGCCATAATGGTTCTAAAGTACACTAAATTGTGTTACTTTACGCAATAACATAGGTATAAGTGTAGAATATTTGGTACAGAGTGATGAAATCTTGTGATGGAAAAAACAGGGTCTTTACTATATTTCGATAATTTTAGTTTCGGCTTTTTTGTTGCAAAAATAAGTCTTCTCAAAATGGAGAAAAACATGGCAAGCTAGTGTAATGTTAACGATACAAAATTGACTTTTACATTTTGAACTTCGCGCTGGTAAATAATATTTTGTTTCTTTCATCCGTATATTTATATTCAAATTTCCCTGCCTTCTATTCATCATCTTGAGTATTTTTGCGCACCAATTTTCGACTAAAAATTTCCGTCTGGTACCCGCCCAATATACTAATGACGTAGAGTCAAAATATGGGGTATTTGATTGGTAAAAAACGGCACAGAATCTACACTGACCAATGAAAAATCTCGAGTTTATGCGGCAATCAAATACCTTAGATCTGAATTTGAGCTCAAAGAATTTCTTTTTTAAACCTCGTACCTAGCTATTTGAGTTTTCTAACAGAGAACAAATTAGCAAGTTAGCACCGGAGGGGTTTACGACATCGAGTTTATGGTTTTAGAGTCCATACATGGAACTAATGACCTTCGCAAAAGGATCGGTATATACTGTTAATTGAAACCACAAAGCTTTATTAATAATTGTAAAATAAGTCTCAAGCGAAATCTATTATTGTAATTTTGTTTCAGTGTGTAATCCTCAAAAATTAACTTGCTAATTAAATATTCCTGAAATATACAGTGTAAACAAATCGGAAGAATGTTATGAAAAGCAAGTTTTAAATCACAGTGATTACCTCCCTTGGCAGAATTGTAATCACTGCCTTCAAAGACGTCACATGATGATGAAAGTCACATGACGTAACGTCGAAATTCAAATGTAAATATCGACCGTTACAAAGAAAATCTAACGTTATTGTTCTCTTTCTGTTTTATTTTTTACTTTTAGTGCCTACGTTCCATATAGTTTATTAAAAAATTATCGAAAGTATACAAAATAACGAAAAATAAATTCAAAAGCTAAAAAATATAAAATATCAAAATATCGTCTCGGTAGAAAATAATCTCATAATTTTTAAAATTATTTCTAAATATTCATATTATTTAAGAAATAATATATCCCAAACTGTGATTTTATTGCTCAATAACATCACTGTTTGGAGTTCGGATGCGGGGAATTATATCACGAGGGCGTAGCCCGAGTGATATAATGATGCGCATCCGAACGACAAACAGTGATGTTATCAAGCAATAAAATCATCGATTTGGATATATTATTTCGATTCTAACACGACATCAACAAATAAATGCTGCCGTACATGATAATTAGCTAAATTGCGTCTGATTTGTTTCCGTACTTATTGTCAGCGCGTCACATTTTTAGTGGTTACGTCACGTGTATAATGATTACGTCACATGTCTAAATATAGAACGTCAAACAGTGATTTTATTGCATAATAACACACACTTTCGGTTCTTCTATGTTCAATAGGGAAAAATGCGGGTCGTGTTAGAATTATTTATTTATTTATTCATAAACATTGTGAAATAAATGAGAGAAAACTTATCTGATAGATAAAAGCAGTAGATAAAACAATTTTTGAAAAAATATAGTATATCAGAAATTCTGATATATTGGGACCTTGGTGGCAGAGATCTACGCCGAAGAATTAAGGGGAGATCACTGTGTGGAGATTGGGGGCTGCGGTGTATTATTAACCGGAAGTTGGGGGGCTGCGGTGTATTATTAACCGGAAGTAAACGCAGACTGGTCGGGTTGGGAGGGGGTGTAAAAGGCAAATACTGCTGTCATATAGTCATTGCAAGTTATTGCAAGGGTTAAAAATATCTGGTACATATTTTTTACGTAACAAAAACTGGTATTTCGATTGAAAAAAAAATAAAGTCGAATATTTTTTTGATACTTTGTCTGAAACAAAACGATAAAAACGAATGTAATAAGAACAATTGTCACGACCTTTTCTTCGTCACTTTTTTCCTTACATAATTTATGTACTTATGTATCTTTTCTTAGATTGTAACATCAAATGAATGAAGTACAAAGACAATTTAAAGGCCCATTATGAACGAAAAAAATCCTTTATTTTTATTTCTCAAAAGTTTTTTTATTTTAGTGTGCTTTTATATGTTACTCATTGGCCAATTACCTGGACCATGTTTTCTTTTTCTGTAGCTTTTTTGGCAATTTAATAGTACAGTTATATATAATTGTATCAAAATGTAGTATTTTGCATGGAAGTCAAAATACTACTGTGTACTTTATGACAAATAATTTCGCATTTGACATTTCTTTCTTCAGGAACATACTCTAAAGCTAGTACTTTCTTAAGAAGTGGAAGTTTTTTTCGTTTCTGATGCATAATGTGCCTTTAATATAAACATTCTTGTTAGGGTAATTCCGGGGTAAATATGGACATTGGGTAAATCCGGACCGTTTTTAAAGTACCCCGGTAGATTGAAAAACGAACAAAATTAAAACAAAAATGAAGCAATAATACGTCGTATTTTTTTAAAATTTTATTTTGTAGTAAACATGTTTTATCTTTTTACCGATGACACAAAGATTTACACTGGATGAAGTTCATTCTGCCTTGACCGTTTAGACATTTGTGAATGCATCGGCCGAGACCGCGTTTTACAAACGATATGGGGGCGTTTTCTTGTTGAACTTCAGCACTGTCATCCTCTACCATACCGTACGGATCATCTTCGGTGCTGGTCGACAAACAAGCCAGCGTTTGTCTAAGAACGTTTTCGCATTTCCTGACTTCGTACACGATGACGTCATTGTCGGGCAGACATTCGACCAATCGGTAAAGATGGGCGGAGCAATGAGACAGTCGGCTTATAACGTTATCTGATCCTGAAATTTAAATATTCATATTTTTATATTTTTTTTTTCAAATATGCGCATCAATGTTTATGTTTATCAGAATCGTAATATACATGAGTCATTGAGTCATTTTATACATGACATTTTCATATGTGTTGAAATATTTAACCTTCTCAGCAACTGCTTTTACATTTGTTCGTCATATTATTATTTTGCATTATGTTGTTCTCAAGCGCAGGTTACATTATATTATATAAGAAATAAAAACTTTAAAAATACTTCATATTGAATAATACATTTTTGTAAATGAAAATTTTCGAAGATTCTGAAATGTATGTAATTCAGATGTATGATATATAATAGAAGTGTATGTTAAATACTGAATTTATTCGAACGAGTTGAATAAAATTGTATTATGCGAGCCTCTGGCGCGCATAATGTTATTTTATTCAATAAGTTCAATAAATTCAGTAATGAACCTACACAAATATAAAATTCTATTTTTCAAATGTCCAAAATAAGACTGTTTAAAGTGAAAAAGAATCTTTATTTCATTGACGCGCCTATAGTGTAAGGATAACATTGAGCACGTCTTTAAACTGCTTGTATAACGCAATTGACATCAAGTCAAAATAAATGCACAGCCGTGTATAAACCATTTATACGGAGTTGCAAAAGCGGCACGGGTATATGCTAAACAAATTTTACGTTTTATTTTTTAAATATTGGAACAACTACAAGGAAAACGTGTATGAATGTTATAAAAGATAAAGTTCATCAGTGTTTAGCTTAAAGCGCAAACGCACAAACAAATTTGCTTATTTATATAAACATGTGCATGAAAAATATCCCGCTTACAAAGATAAGATAGAAATAAGCAAGTATCCTGCTGTCACAGACAAGATAGACATTAGTCCCTATCCCGCTACTACAGACAAGATAGAAATAAGCCAAAACCCGCTAGCAAATAGCAAATATAAAAGATAGAAATAAGTTCCAATCCCGTAACCAAAGAGAAGATGGAAATTAGCCAATATTAGGTTGTCACAGACAAGATAGACATTAGTTCCTATCCCGCTACTACAGACAAGATAGAAATTAGCTCCCTTTCCCGCTGCCACAGACAAAAGAAATAAATCGCTTTCCCCTTACCACAGACAAGATAGAAATAAGACCCAGTGCCGTCGCCGTAGTTAATATAGTAAAGCGGAACTATAGTTTTGATATTCCTACAATTCTCTTATATCAAGGTACGATTATATATAAAAAGGAACAGTAAAACTAAGAATATTCACATTTCTTGAAATTTAGTTCCTGTTCTTGCTATGTATACAATTATTGACGAATTACGGATATTTTAAGAGACAGTGCATGTTTTCGATTTTATTTTATTTATTTAATTTTATTTTTTTGAATAATTAAAAAAAAATGTAAATCATGTACATGTGATCACTAAATAAGTTTTAGTGTTGCAAATTCTATCTGATATATTATATTGTTATATAATTAAATATAAAAGTTATGTACCTGTCTGAAACATAGCCGACGAGCAGCCGACGAACACGGAAATGAACAGCAGCACGTGAAGTCCCTTCATTGTCGTCTGCTTCAAGATGTCTTCTGCGCAAGTTTGTAAGAACCAGTGGAATCAAGAGTGAATGATATCAAGATGTTTGCCCTTTATATATGCAAGTAGTAGACGAAGTTTGGTTACTGTTGCTAATTGGTTGACGTTTTTACTTCCACTATACCTTGTTGAAACCCCTGATTTTATGGGAAAAAATTATAGTTTATTTAAAATTTATTTTTTCATCGGAAAATAATATATTTAATTTCAGAATATTTAAAAAAGTTTATTTATTACAATGAAAAAACCAAATTTATAAATTTTACTGCTTTTATGGAAAATTATATTATAAAAGCCCAAAAAAACTCTTTTTTTTTTCAAATGACAAAACCCGAAAAGAATATTTTTATATTAAAATTATTAATAAAACATATAAATTTTTTTAGAATTTTTCTAAGATAATTTCTATATTGTTGTGTGACTGAGAAAACTTTTGTTTTAAACTTTTAAAAATTTTTTTTGGAAAGAAATCTAAAAGATAATTAGGAAAAAAACCCCAAAAAACCCAAAAAAACAAAAAAAAAACAACAAACGTTTTCGCACAAAAATGACGTTGGACATGACTATCTTTTTCACCAGAGAAATTGTGCTTATTTTGATAGTCTTTTGACAATAATTTGTTAGTAGAAGCAGTGACAGGTATAGTCACAATCATCATCATTATAATCAACATCAGCATGACTATTACCGTTATAATTATCATCATCATTATGATCATCACTTGTAATTACCATCATCACCATTATCATTGTTGTCGTCGTTGTCATTATCATCATCATCATCATCATCATCATCATTATCATCATCATCATTATTATTATTATCAACAATGAATATTACCATAACAATTATTATAATCATCAGCATCATTATTCACCATTATAATTAGTTTTATCATCATCATGAATGTTTACATATCATCATTATCATCATTGTTATCATTGTCATTATAATCATCATCATCATCATCATAAGAGTTTTTTTATTATCATTTTCATTATTAGTATTGACATTATTATCATCATCATCATTTTTATTATTATTATCATCATCATTATCATCATTATTGACTGTCACATTATCATCGTTATTTTTTATTATTATCATAAGACCGAAGTTATTGATCATGTTCGAGCCTATCCTGTTGTTGCTTGCCATCAATCATGTTTCCTTTGCATGAATGTTTATTTACTCAAAGCAAAATTTCTCGAGATAAAATCTATGTTTCTTTATGCACCACATAGTCACGTTCACTACTTGTGATCCTCGTTATAGGTACATATGTATTAGCGTTTGTTACAACTCTTTTAGAAAGCTACCAACTGAACTCCAGGTTATTTGACAAAATACATCGTTAGGAGTGCCGCTTTAATGTTATTTTTCTTCGTTGTGGTCAATGCGAATCATTTTGTTTTTTCCCCATAAACATATAGACTTGAAACTGTCCTCAGTGTTCATAATTGATAAAATCCGAATATCATTTTAACGTTTTTTATATGTTACCTAAATAATCTGATCTCCTCGGCTATTATGCTTTGCAATTTAGACCTCTGACAAAATAACATTTTGTTTGTTTATGAAATGATGTCAGTAGTTGTAGATTGTTATTTATTGTTTTCCATCAATGTGACTGGGGTTAATTATAATTGAAAAAGTCAGAGAAGAAGGTAGCACAAAGAGAAGTACTCAAAATACTGAGGGATACGTCATTGCGAACGCGAACGAACACGAGCGAATTACGTTGGTGTGCCAATCGGAACATCCTTGGATATTATCTACAATCGAAGTCATACGGAAGGGTCGAAAAGTTGCGATTTGTTGGTGTGCATTCGTGCGTTACGTACGAGGCCTCTTACCCGAAGTATACGGAAAGAGCCGTTCATTAACGATTCGTTACTAGAGTATTCATATAAACAAAGAAATAGAAGGAAAAATTATATAGCTTCCTATGTCATTCATTGCTGTGCTAAAAACTAAATGCGGCCGTAGGCTAAGCAACCGCAGATTCCAGTACCGGAAGAACAAATCTAGTTTTAGAAACGTACTTTTTACCTTTTGGTCCTAAATTTTGTGCAACTGGCTTTTTGTTTGGACTTAAAATTGCAATACAGTTATTTTGTCGGACTTTGCATTCGTGTTGTTAGGCAAATGTATCAAAATATGTTTTTGCTGCCATCATTGACTGGAAGTTGCAAAACAAACAAAACCAATACATGACGTTATGTATATCTTTGAAAATAGTTGACCAATCAGAGAAAGTAAGCTTTTATCAGCATATTATGTCCATATATAGTAATTCAATTTTCTTGGCCAATTCAATGCCGGAACAACTAATGTCTATTATGTAAGACCCAAAGAAAGAATATCTGTTTATTACAATTAACAAGTATTAAAACAACTAATTCAAACGTTTTCTGCTAAACGCATAATCGGCAAATTTTTAAGCATAGACGAATTTTTTATGCTTATATATGTATACGTATATATAACACATGTAAATGATTAATTGACTCGAAAAAATGAGAAGATATATATAATACTGTAATGATAAATCTTTATCTAACGATCATTTTTATCCCCAGCGCAGTTAATGGAACATTATAACATCTATAATACACCTACAGCAGCCACGGTAGAAACACTCAAATCAATTGTCACGATACTATACTGGTTTTAAAGGCATTCAATTCAGTCATTAATCATATATATAATACAATATGTGTACAAAATTTTCAAATCTTTACTTTTGTAAATATATTTAATCAGTTCCCACACAATCTTTGCTGAATAGAAGGAGCGTTGTATTCACAAGCAGACGATATCTGAAGAAATGATATCTTCCAAGGTCGTTGGGAATTTCGAATCATTTTTTTGACTCTTTGACAATATAATCCATGATTCAAAGGATGCAAATTAATGTGTGAATGAAAGATTTGAGGCAAGAAAAGAACGGACTACATTTTGTGATTCGGTTTCAAAAAAAGAAGACGGACTACATTTTGTTATTCGGTTATATAGAAGCACGACTTAACCAAATAGAATAAAGGGTCGCGTCGCTATAAAGTCATTATTTTTTAAAGTTAATTAAGTTTGTTACTATATTATATATAATCCGTCTACAGTACTCAGAAACATATAAACTGGATTCGGAACACCTCGGCTATTATTCGTAATAACCTCGGACTTAACACAAATTCAAAGTAGTTCTCCCACATGGTTTTTAGATGTAAAACAAAAATCAGACAGTGATAACGAATGCATATGTTTGACATCCAAAGGCAAAATAAAGTCTCTTTTTTGGGTAAAATTACGATTGAAAATATGTTTGACAATCAGAATGCCCATTGATGTGCAATTACAAACAAATCCAAATTCATATACATGTATCTTTGACTGTTACCTATACACTTTCCAATTTCAATTATATGGGCATAATGTCACTTTAAAATATTACAAAGGCTCGAAACATTAAAAAAAAATGTAAAAATATACGTCTCAATTAGCATGATGACAATTTAAACATCAACATTGTAAAAAATCTTTTGCTTAACGAAAGGTTAAAAAAGAACAAGTTAAACTAATCTTTTATTTATGTTTGTTCCTGTAGCAGTATAGATAATTGTTTTTGAACCATATATGATATGTTAGAACGAATTTTTTAAATATAAATAATGAATTTGCGTTGACCATCATTCGACAAAATTTAATGTTTTTCTTTTAAAGATGTTTTTTTTACTAAGAACGTGGTGCTTTTTTAAAATTTGAATTTCTATCTTTTCATATAAACATTTTGTTTACCATGATATGACTTACTACAAATATTTCAATTTAATTGCACAGAAAAATAGAATAAGATTCGTCAACTTACCTTTTACTGTAAGGCACTTTCTCCTCTATAGCGTTATTCTAGTGAACCGTCCCAAACCGAGTTATGCGATGTATACTTCTACATTTGCGCATGCGCAGCGTTAACTTTTCACAATTTACATCATCGACATAAAACACCAAATGGCAAACTCTGGAAATAAAATGTTACAAAATAGAATCGCATTAACGTTTCAAATACACTTGTTCAAAGGAGTCACGAAATGGGCATCTATTTACGAGATTTCGGAATCACTGAGGCGTACCCGATTCTTTTCGTACCATTGACGCTGCGCGATTAGTAAAATTTGTAATTAGCCATCAATTAACAGATCAATTAGGCTAATAAAGCTATTGTAAAAGCTTTTTCATCACGTGACTAACAATCATTTGATGTTAGGAAATGAAATAAAATATAAAAGCGTTGACGTGGGTGTTAGTGGCAGCAGACGATAAAACAACATGTTTCCAAACACGCGAACCGGAGCTTACTTGTTTTTCCTATTATCTACATGGAACAAGTTAGCAGAAGGAGTAAATGTAAAACATACAAAAATTACGTTTTTATTATAAGCAATAATTTGTTAGAAGAATGCAGAAGTGTACATGACCTGATATGACCTCGTTAATTGAGGACTTTTTCATAAACTTGACCCAGCTAAGTCGATGCAATGCTATTCTAAAACAAGTGTTTGCATTTTGTGAACGCTTTCACAAAAACATATTTACAAATTCAAATTATAGATGCTAACAACAACAACGACAAATGGCAAGAAAATTGCGCTCTTACATCAACTGACCTCACTGCTTTTACTACTATCTATGACAGTACGTCCAAACAATCATTATCGCTTTGGCACCATATCTATTATACCTCATATAGAGGATATTCAAGTTTGTTTCTATTAATACTGGATTTATTCTCATCTATCGGTATGAAATATAATTATTTTCATGTCACAAGATGAAAATAAATGCTGTATACATAGAAAAACTTGAATTTTCTGTTTATTGTATACATTTTTCTCTCTTTGATATTACAATTTGAATACCACTTAAATTTCGTGCATTGGCAGAATTTACAGGAAAGTAGTCCGGCTTGACACCAGTGAAAAAAAAACAACGGAAAATATGTTAAACTGCAGTGAAAAATAATTTTTTACAGTGAAAATACAGAAAATGAGAACATTTCTCAATACTAGTAAGTATATAATAACAATGTTTTTTTATCATACTCGAAAGTCAGTTATTTA